AGGTCGTTGAAGCGACGTTCAAGTCCAAAGTATCTTAGGAGGAACCATTGCAAATCCCTTTTCTTAGAGGTATCCGACAACATCACTGAAAGAGCTAGAGCAGCTTAGCTCCACGTATTCCAATAGAGTTAAAGTGTTTGTTATTTTTGGTAGTGACAACTGTCGTAGTTCATCCTTTGTCGCATTTTTGGCAATAAGCCGCAAGCGTGCTCGACGATACAACAGGTTGACGTTATGTAACAGGTCGGTTACATATTTACTAGCTTTGACCTTACAACGAGAGCTAGAACGGTGACTAGGGTTTTTCGTGTAATGTCTTGATAGCGACTGTTTATGTTGAAACGACTCAAAACAAAATTCCATCGTGAAAAAAGTTCGACTAAATTCCCTTCTGAAAAACACGTGTGTATTTAAGGTGGAAAATGTTTGATATGAGCATTCAATTCTTAAAGGTTTAATTCTATAATCATTTTGTTTAGTTATGTAAATAAATTTAACACGACTTGTACTGTTTATCTGAGTGAAAGGAGAGCTGCGGGTTTTCCCTTTCCTTTATTTACACTTTCAAATATGACCGCTTAACAAAAATGCACGGGCTCACTGGCTTACAACCTTGGCGAATTCATATGCAGGCCTGGTCGCAAATCAATCACCCAGGTCCCTTTAAGGTGTTTCGATCGTAATAAATAGCGCTTCGCGCGTATTTTTAAACTCCAACTACGTCGCAAATTTCGATTACATTGCATTCAAATTTTCACAGACGTAACAGTGATTATCGATAATTCTTGTTGATAAATTAATTTGCCAAAAAGCGATGCCATTTGGATAAACGATACAAAATAAAAACACCTTCATTTTTCTTCAAAGTTAATTTTCTTGAAACTCATCGCAGAGATTGTAATAAAATTTTCAGAATCATTTTTTAATAACATATTTGATATACTGACGAAGTTTCAATAAAATCTTAACCTAAAATGTCGAGTTGTTTGAGCAAAATGATGTACATTCGAACAACTCGAAATTTTAGGTTAAGATTTTATTGAAACTTCTTCAGTATATCAATTATGTTATTAAGAAATGATTCTGAAAATCTTATTACAATTTCTGCGACGAGTTTCGAGAAAATTAATTTTAAAGAAAAATGAAGGTGTTTTTATTTTGCATCATTTATCCAAATGGCTTCGCTTTTTGGCAAATTAATTTATCAAAAAGAATTATCGATAATCAGTTTGACTTCTGTGAAAGTTTGAGTGCATTTAAATCGAAATTTGCGACGTAGTTGGAGTTAAAAAATTCGCGCGAAACGCTATTTATTACGATCGAAACACCTTAAGGCAAAAGTGTTCTTTGAAGGAAAGCTTGAGGAGGAAAATTTCAAAGCATGCCTTCCAGTCCCTATCGTCTACACTTGACTTAAGTTAATCAAGATGCAGTTTTTGGAAGTTTACCATTTTGTCGCCAATGCTAGAAATCTTATAGGGTCGTAGACACAAGATATGTTATAACAATAACTGTTCTATCTGATCAGTTTACGAAGTAGGAATGGTTCTTACGTAATGCTGGTCTGGTTGAAGCTTGATTAAGTGCATCAATGTCTATGGGGACCAACGTTAGTTTAATGACAGACAATTTCTGCTAACTTATGTGCCCTACCGTAAAATGTTCTTTCTGCCAACCAGTATATTAAGAATAATAAGGTCAGATACGATACTCACCCATTTTTGATCAACCAATGTTTGAGTGCACCGCGACCATTCTTCTTAGAGGGGGTAGCATAGCATTGCTGAGCCAATACTGACAGCTCTTTCCTCGCAGACTTCACAGCCACCTCGACATAAATCACTTGACGCAAATGTAACTCAATAGGAAACTTCTTGTACGGTTTTTTGAACTGGCTGCTGGGAAACAGATTCAAAGTGAAGTTGAACTTGCCCTTGGAATGGAATGCGCTGACGTATTTGGTTTTATTGGGCTGTACATGCGATGACGTCATCTCTCGTTGACGTGGATACGAACACGATATCGTTATGTTGATGTCATGAATGCGGCTGATGACTGCACTATTGTTCAGCGGTCGTCCAAGTACATGGTTGCTATAGGTGATCGTTTTAGTGGTTTTGCTGATCTTGGTTCCACACTGATCAAAGCCTGTCTTGAGGTAGAAGTTCTTGTTATCCTCAGTAGCGCGACAAGACGGTTTGTTCAGTCGCAAGTCCTTAGCGAGTGCAAAAGGCAGCGATGTTTTGGGTATTTTTATCTGCATGTGATTGTTAGAGCACTTGAGCTGGTTATTGGGATTCCTATTKCGTACTGSCCGCACTGAAAAATACAATGATATGATCTCTATGTTAATGATAGCTGTCATGACAACCTACAAGACTACATACTTCCACTTAGCGCAAAATTCATCCATTGCGTCAAAGTCCAAGCAATCGTGCGATGCGGGATATCCGCAAATGAATCAAAGCGTTAAGAATAATGAGCAAAGAGACAAAACATTTCAGCGCCTTAGCAGTCTTGGTTCCAAAGGAATTGTCATTTTATTGGATGTCATACCGTCTATCATAATATCTACTAAGCTTTCAAGGGTGTAATTACTGACTTTAATGATCTCATTCAGTTTATCCAGATATAAAAGTAAGGAAGAAATAATGCAAAACCAAACTCACAATTTTTAACTTTGAAATTATCTCCTTTGCAAACAGTGCTTACATGACACCAAAGGCCCACATAGTTGTTGGTTTTTGAAGCTGCGCCTGCGCCAGTCATGGTAACCTGTTTGACTAGTTTGTTGTCGATGTAAATCTTGACTTGGGTACCTTTGACAACAGACTTCAGGTTGTACCATCTTCCTAATCGATAATTGTAGTTGATCTTGGGAGAGCTTTCCTTACCATTACTCGTGATATACAGATGCTTGCGTGAATAGAAAAAGTAACCCCAGGCTTTAGTCACCATACTTCGCACGTATAAGAAGACAATAAAATAAAAGCAAGGGAAGTTCTGTGTTACTTAAAAAGCTCATTTTGTGTCCTAGATTAGGTCGCGAAATTACCAAGTTGTAAAATCATCTTACTGGGTTAATGGTTTGTAGATTTTACTAAAGTTAGATGTAAGCCCCTCTACTTCGTTGATTCAATTCATAAGTTCAGACTATGCCTCCCTCTGGATATTTAACCCCCTTCTCATAGTGATAATTACTGATATTGTTTTGATATTTTTGATATGTTCTCAAGTCCGCCTTTTAAAATCGTCTTTTAAGACTTTAAAAAGTTCCCTAAACTACACGCGACTTAAGCACCAAGGGTAGGCCTAAAGAGTAGAGATCAGTCATTGTTTTACGGGTTTTTATACGAGTCTAACTCACCTCTCATGTTTGTACACTAACACTCTATGACCCATTCTTACCTATTTGTCCTACGGCTTCCTGGTTTATACTTGAAGACATGTCCACAGCCACCGCTGAGCGATGCCGATGTCATGGCGAGTCTGCTTGTTATCTCTATGGATTATTGTAAAACCGTAGAACGGTATCATCAGGGAAATCATTTCTATACGGCATCGAAATCAAATATAACACAAATGTACACTACTGATTACCATACTGGTCTGAATTAACAGGTGTTGTCCAGATTCGTGTTGGCCCGTAGTGCCATATGCCACTTGTCAAACGGAGGTTCCACTTGTTTTCATTGCCAGTCCATTTTCCTTTACCACCCGTTAGGTCACGCCATCCACCTTATATGAAAATGATAACACGTTACATAGGTCCAGTAATAATATAGCTAGATTTTTGAGGATTTGTGCATTGTGGATGGCTCACTAAGCTTAACGTCACATAACAAAAATCCTGGCTGCAACAACAACCTCGTCCCTAGACACTTAAACAAGGGCGGATCCAGCTGAAATCTTAAGGGGAGAGGGGGAGGGGGGACTATTAATTGCTTTTGAGGGGGTTAAATGGCTTTTATTTAAGAAATATAAAACGGCGCGCGTGTCTCTGTCCTCTGATATAAACACGGTGGGAGTTTGAAAAACACGAGAGAAGCAAGCTTAGGAACACGAGCGTAGCGAGTGTTTCTCTTGCTTCT